CTAACGTTTTATGTAGTAGAGCCACCTTGCATCTCTGTTTTGACAGCAGCACATATGGGTCTGCTCGACGAGGAATAATCATGCCCTTACAGTGTTCTAGTAGAAAACACATCTTTATTTTGATTTTAGCTCAATCGAGTATAGATCGCGATCGAGGGCACCTAATGTGTATGGACCGCAGCACACACTTACCATGAGGTAGATTGTGTTCCCATTTGTCAATACGACTTCTTTAAGAAAAATGTATTTATTTTGTCTTAAATAGCACAAAATACTTTATTACACGGAAAAATAAAAATTACCGCGAAAAATGTTATACAGGCTGATTCCACGCGTTTGGTTTGCCAACTATTGTTGCGAGAGATACTGCATGACCAGGTGAATAAAAATATATAGATTTGTAAGAAAGTATATTATTCAATAAAATTAAGACGGAACGTTGCATGCGATGTGTGAATAATTTCATATTTTTATTGCAAATCTGCATGTGCAAAAAAGTATATTGTACGAGGGTGGATTGAAAAGTACTCGGCCTAACACAGATCCATTCAATTCTAAATATCAAATCTACCCACATTATTTAGTTCAGTTCAGACTAGTTCATTGTGTGAAGTTCGAAACGTGTGCGATAATTAGTTGTGATTTTATAAATTTATTAACAAAGTAATCGGACATAATTTCCGCGAATGGAGCAAATCGAGCAGCGTGCCGTCATTAAGTACCTCCATAAGAAGGGGCTATCATCAAAAGCCATCCATGATGACATGGTCAGTACATTAGGCGATTGTGCTCTGTCATATTCATCCGTCAAAAAATGGATAGCAGAATTTAAGCGTGGTAGAGAGGGTGTGAAAGATGAACGCCGCTCTGGAAGGCCTTCGACGTCAACTACTGACGAAAATATTAAAAAAGTACTTGATTTAATAATGGGAGACCGCAGATTAAAAATTAGAGAGATAGCCGAGATTATAGGCATCTCTTATGAACGAACTTAAAACATCATTGTCAACGAGTTGGGTTTCCACAAGGTGTCTGCGAGGTGGGTTCCGCGACTGCTTTCAGTTGAACAAAAAAGGACGCGATTGACTATTTCACGCGACTGTTTGGAGTTATTTGAAGCCGATGCAGATGATTTTTTGAATCATTTTGTTACTATGGACGAAACATGGGTTCATTACTGTACACAGGAAACAAAACAACAATCAAAACAGTGGAGAAGACCTGGTTCACCACCCCCTAAAAAGGCTAAGTCGATTTTGTCGGCAAATAAGGTGATGGCTTCAGTATTCTGGGACTCGAAAGGTGTGATTATGATTGATTATCTTGAAAGGGGTCAGACTACAAACTCTGATTACTACTGCACCTTACTACGTCGTTTACGAGAGGAAATAAAAGAAAAACGTCGAGGAATGCTCAGAAGAAAAGTTCTGTTTCATCAAGATAACGCCCGTGTTCACACGTCAGTACAGTCAATGGCTGAAATTCACAACTGTGGCTTTGAACTGTTACCGCATCCGACGTATTCACCTGATCTAGCACCATCAGACTTCTTTCTGTTCCCTAACCTAAAAAAGCACTTGGGAGGTCAAAGATTTTCGACAAACGACGAGGTCAAAGCAGCTGTAGACGCATATTTTGACTCTAAGGAAGAATCATTTTTTTTCAACGGTCTAAATGCTTGGAAGGGGAGGTGGCAAAAGTGTATTGAACTTGATGGTGATTATGTAGAAAAATAAAAATATAACTGATTTAGTATGTGTTTATTTTCTTGGTTAGGCCGAGTACTTTTCAATCCACCCTCGTATTTTTAATTTATTATCATTCTTCATATAGCATATTTGCGTACTATATATTTTTCGAACACCGTATCGTAAACCTAATTAAAAATCGAAATATATGGTACGGTAATGATTTTTTTAGTAGAATAAGGGTAATAAACGAGCACACAGTCTACCTGATGGTACGTGGATGCTGTGGCCCATGGACATCTACATTTATTCTCGATTAAGAATCAAAATGCACATGCATTGCCACCCGTGAAGACTAAGATGGAATGCCTCGTTTCCAGTAAAAAGGGTTACCGATTGTTTATTAAAATAAATACTAAAAATCAACTCACCACTAAAAGCTTCTGCCCAGTCAGTTTCTGGTTCAAATACTGGCACACGGTCCGCACAGGGTAGGCCGGTAATGGCAGCAGGAAGTCCGTAGCAAATGGATAGTTCACCATGGCCAGGGTCTCGTACATTGACTGCAGAAAGTCTATCAGATTCTGAACGTCGGTTGTGTTTTTGATCGGATCACATAGTTTCCATTGTTTGTGTAGCCAATCTGTGTTGTTTTTGGTTGTAACGAAGTTTCTACAGAATTAAGATTAAGAATAACATTAAAAAAATCCCTCCTATGGGGGTAGCGTATGCTTAGCAGTGGGTTTTTATAGGCTGTAATGAATGGAAGGATATGTTGTTTTAAGACGTAGCAGAGCAACGCTGCAGCTGTGTTATGGTTGTGGTAAGATTGGGTCTCGACCAGGGAAGAATCACACTCTCACAGATTACCAACGTGAAATATCAGCTTGATGCTGCTGTGTTTCTTATTATGAGTGTAGAGAACCGAAAAATCTTTTTACTAGATTCTATGTTAGTCCTCAGGGGTGACAACGCATCTGCATTTTGATTCTTAATTGAGGATAAATGCAGATGTCTATGGGCCACAGCTTTCACTTAACATTGGATGGACTGTGTGCACGTTTGTTACCCTATCCTATAAAAAAAGTCCCTCTCCTAGGCATCAGTTCTTTCTCCAAGAATTTCTAATTCTAATTTCTTTCCATAGCTCGGGAGAGCGATAGAAATTACTTGTAGTATGTCGCGCTGCTGCAGTGCGTGTTGACGGACTACACGTGCCTTGGAAATATTTTTATTCCACACAGGTTTCCTCACGACGTTTCCTTCACTACCGATTATGTCATAAATTAAAACTTAAAGCAGTTTCGAACCCGGGTGCTCGGGCACTGTAAAATTTAGGCTCATTGGTTATATTAATTTCATTTAAAATTTTCAAAATTATTACCATAGACATGAAAGTTAAATTCATCATCATATTAGAACAGCATGGTATGGTAACATTTAGGAAACCTAAGATAGGTATATATAATACGGAAGTGCCAAATCACACCAAGGAGGACATATCTCATATGTAGGGTTGAAAATTTCTTTTGACGACGTACAAGGCTATGAATAACTAAAACCTTGTGTAATGAGGCGGCCGATATATATCGACACCCAATATGAATAACATTGTAACTGTAGTTACACGTTGGTACTTATTTATGTCATATGAATTCAGCAAGAACAGACTTTTATTTCGGTCTTTGAACCGTATCTGTATGACAATAAGAAGTACTTTTGTGAAATGGTATAACTTCATTGTAATTGAAAATGTACTGTGTTTCCGTTGAAGTATAATTGTAGATGAAGTTGCAATACACAAAAGTTTGAGTAACAATTGTTTCTTTGTGTTAAATTCATTGCAAATGGACATACAATATTATTCATTTAAATTATTAGACTGTTTTTACTTTGACCACGTTGTAATTGTAAATTACAATGTTTTTCTTCTTAAATGTTTGATAACGTTATAATTGTAAATAAAGTTGCGGTGTTAACATCGAGACTAAGTTTCGAGTTCGTCATTTGAATATAATAGTATCGTTATATGCCATGTTATTGTTAGCGAGCAATATTTTTATTCATAAACATAACCGCCAATACTGTCAGGTTTCTGCTCAGTGGACGTTTTGTTCCAGTGATAGTAACTGTTTGTGGATTAAATTTATTGTGATAATGAAGTCTCGTGGGAAGCTTATGGTGAGTCTCCTTCGCAAAAAAAGATGTCTCAGTTGTGGAATCAATGGGTAAGTAATAAACATAGATATTACACGCTATCTTATTTATAACCTAAAATGTTCAATTGTTTTGATTTGATTTGTGTTTACTTTTGTTACTTCGCTAGTTAGACTAGAGTTGAACACCTAAACCTAATGAATAGTGAACATACAATAAAATTAGTTTATGATTATCTGATTCACAGAAAGTACGGATACTTCAACTGACGACACTTCAAATCAAATGGATATCTATAAGAAACGCAAGAGATGTCAATTTGAGTTACTCAATGGTTGGTATTCTTGTTGTTAAAAAGTTATTCTTACCTTTATTTGTCATGTCCCTATCCAGTAATAACTCATATCTACCTACTTAATCTTTTATTTTTTTATAGGTGCCGAATTAATAAACTTTAAAAGAAAATTAAGATGGCGGCGTAATCGTCCCATTCATTACGCCTGTTCAGAAGACGATAATGGTGGTGATTTTTCAGCTGATGATTTATCAGACGAATATCTACCCCCTCAGCCACAAAGTTTTCTTTAGGCAATGGAATATCTTCTAAACTTTTATTCTTGACACATATTTTATAGAAAATTTTTGTATTACTTAAATTAATTTGATGGTTTGATCAATATATATATATTTTTTTTTCGAGAAGTGATTGCACTGATGAATGAAGAGGAGAGGAAATAACGTGGAATTAATTCACTATTACTCCTAGTGATTTGGGTGTAGAGCTAGTTAGTAAGACTGTACAAAAATACACTCTGTTTTAGGTACTTTCATCACCTTTGTACCTAGCTATAGCATGCACTTTTTACCACTTGTTGAATCTACATTCTACTTCATTTATAATAATGATAACATTGAGATTCGTGCCAACCCTTACCTAATGTTTAAGCTAAGAAAAGAACTTCAAGCTTATTTAATATAAAAAAACTGCCTGTCACAATTGGCACCAGTATTAACTTCTTATGTACAGCTTTTTGTCTACTTAGCTTAAAAACATTTATTTTTTCAGACTCTGATTGTGCTGCGGTTCAAGTACTTGAAAATATTAATATTGTTGGGTCGAAATTATCAATAAGATCAATCAATAAAAGCCCAGTCATGACTGAAACGTTTCACCAAGACGCGGCTCTACCTAACTTCCTCACCTATGAGATCCTGTCGTGCAGCCCAGAAAAGCGGGAACAAGAGATACTATTAAATCCATGTTCGATCGGCTCCTCGCATCAACATGTGTATCTGCCTATGCCTAGTAGTTCCAGTATCTTAGAAACTCCAGTTATGACTGAAACTTTGCACCAGGAGCCTGCTTTATGTGGTATAATCACCAATGACAATCCGTCGTGCAGTGCGGATAGGCACGAACCGGAGATACCATTAGATCCACGTTTGATTGGCTCCTCGCATCAAAATGTGTTTCTACCTGGTACAGCTAGCAGTCATGAAAATGATAATAATGTGGGGGGCAGGCAGGGGCAGGCATGACAAAGAAGAGAGTATATCCAAAAAAAAAACTTCGGGTAGGAAAAGGCAAAGAAATCCACAAAACTGGAAAATGAATGAATTAAAAACACTTCGGAATTCAGGTTTAGAATATACTAACAAAAAAGGTAAATTAGTTAAAGAAAGAGCGTTGGGACCCGGATGTAAAATAGATAAAGATTGCAAAAAGAAATGTCACACAAATATATCTAATGATCACCGAAAACAATTATTCACACAATTTTGGGCAATGGGTAATCATGAAAAACAGGTTGAGTATTTAGCTAGATTTATAACCAGAGTCCAGCGTAAAACAGTACAACTAAACAACATTAATTCCAGACGCCATTGCACTTATGAGTATTACTTACCTGTTCTTGGAGAAAAGAATCAGAGTGTGTAAAAAAATGTTTTTAGACTCATTCAATATTACAGATATGTGGATAACGACGATGTTCAAAAAAATGGATGAAAATAATGAAGAAGTCATTACAAACGATAGGCGTGGTAAGCATAGCAATAGGGGGAACACAATAAATGAAAATATTAAGATTTCAGTTCGCCAGCATATTAATTAAATTCCTGTCAAAGAATCACACTACGTAAGGCAAAGAACATCCAAACTTTATTTTGAAGAATCACTTACTTTTCCTAAGCTATACTCTCTTTACATTGAATCGATGACTAAAAATAATCCAAGTGATACCAAAGCTACCCAAGAACAGTACAGGCAGATCTTTTATAAAGAATTTAATATAGAATTCTTCAAGCCAAAGAAAGATCAATGTTTGAAATGTGAGGTTCATGAAAAAGCTTCAGAGTTAGAAATAGAAATTACAGCACGTGATTACGCATTACATATGGCAAATAAATGTATCATACGTCAAATAAAAGACAAAGATAAGGTAGAAGCCAAACAATCTAAAAAAAAATTGTTAACTGCATATTTTGATTTACAAAAAATTTTAACTACTCCACGGTCTGACGTGTCAACCTTTTATTACAAGAGAAAATTTCATGTTTTCAATTTTACAATTTTCGACATAGGATCTGCTGAAGGGCACTGTTATGTGTGGGATGAATGCATTGAAAGAAAAGGCCCTAACGAAATTGCTAGCTTCTTGTTCGATTTTATAAAAAAAGAAGGCTGCCGAAGGTATAAGAGAATTTCGTTTCTATTCAGACTGCTGTGGCCAAAATAGAAACCGAATTGTATTTCTAATGTATGTTTACGCCTCAAAAATATTTGGTGTAGTTATTACACACAACTTCTTTGAAGTTGGGCATTCCCAATCAGAAGGGGACTCAATGCATGCTCTTATAGAGCGACGTAAGAAAAACCAAGTTGTATATGTACCACAACAATGGTACACACTAATACGTTGTGCTAAGATTACAGGCAAACCCTACGCCGTGAACAAGGTCACTCAAAATGAAATATTTGATTTTAAGGCATTGTTAAATTTAGTTCCCAATTAGGAATTGGACAATGACAAAAAAAAATTATGTGGTCAAAAGTTAACCATATTAAAATTAATTTCGAATCGCCAAACATTATAATGTTTCAAAATGATTTTTACAGCGATCAACTAAATTGGATAGATTTGGATTACCGCAAAGTCAAGACTAGACGTCAAAATATAAATAAATCTTTGGCTGCGTTGTGGGATCATAATTTAGTTAGAGCCTATGAAAACTTACACCCAATCAATCAAAACAAGTACAAAGACTTGTGCAGCTTATGCTCCAGCGGTGCAATTCCTGAGCAATATAGACATTTTTATACCAACTTGCCACACTCAAACACCGTTTCAAATAATTCCGACATTGAAGACTAAATATTGTTATCTGTGCTGGCAGCCTATTAAAATGAATAAAATATTATAAATTGATTTTTATTATCTCTCACATACTACTTACCATGTCTTTCTATCCCAATGTAATATTGATATACATTGTAATTGCTGCTTACAATAACATTCATCAAAGATTTCCTATTTGTCAATTTGTAAAATAAGTTACAATAATAATCACCGAAAAAACCCTTCAAATGTTTTCGTGACCCAATTGTAGCGGTAGTTACAATGCTTTTCATATTAAAAATGCTTAAAACTTGTATATTGTAACATTGCAAAAATCATACTTGCAGTAGATTTATCGAAACGGCATCTAAACCAATTGAAAAAGCAATTACAATCAGTATCATGAAACCTAAAATTGTACAGAACTACCTATTCTTTCAGCTGCAAATAAATTATAAACTTTACAAAAAAATTAAAATGGCTATGCTGTAAACCATGTCACATTGAAATACAATGTTATTCATATTGGGTGTCGATATGACGAAAGCGTAACTAATGGACGCCACACACGGTCAGTTAAAATGATCAGTTGAACTGACGTACATCTAAAAAGTGACTGTGAGTGTGGAATCTGAAGTTGAAATTTTCAACTGACGACAACCCACGGACATCGTCGGTCGCATTGTCAGTTGAAACTGCTCAGTGGAACTGACGTAAATCCAAAAACTGATCGTGAGTGCGAAATCTTAAGTTGAAATTTTTAACTGATGAGTTTTCCGGGCGCGCCGTAATCCGCTGGCTTCAGTTCGTTTTAGTTATTGGTAAGTACCTACTTTCTTAGTAGCTACATACATTATTGCTATGCTATTTAGATTTTTTACTATTTTATATATTTTGAGAATTGCGTTTGACGGAGGATGAAGACTAAGGTGACTGTGATGATGTCACCTTCCTTATGATTGACTCAGAAGATGGGCAAAGGATCTTGGTGATGCTACGTAGAACCATCGTGTTTTTTTCAACTAATTTATTCAAAAAGGTTCATGAAGACCTAGGTGACTATGATGATATCACCTAGCTGATGGTGGACTCCAAAGGTGTACGTCAGTGACGCCACTAGATAGGACGGTCGTGTTTGAACTCATTTGAAGGGGCACATAAAGACCTAGGTGACTATTATGATCTCACCTTTCTGATGGTAACCAAGGTGGATGTAGGATCTCAGTGATGCCACTAGATAGGACAATCGTGTTTGACCTCATTTGAAAGGGCTCATAAAGACCTAGGTGATTGTTTTTATCTCACCCTTCTAATGGTGCAATTTAAAGGTGTGTATAGGATCTCAGTGACGGCACTATTTTTAAATTTTTATTATTATTAATTTTGAGTCACGCAATTTTATCTGTGACACTCCTAAAAATGTATAACCAAAGGGGGGAGAAAACATAAGAAAAAAAAACTAAATATAGTGTACCTATATGTGTTATGTAACTCAATACAATATGAAAAATTTATTATTTTATAAAACTCAACATATTTGATTATCAAACAGATCAAATAATTATTTATTAATTCTAGACTTTGTTTCTTTAAAATAAAAAACATTACCCCCATACTAGGATTTTCTCCTGTATCGTGGAGGCAGTTTACAAACATAATTTGCACAAGGACAAACATCCAGACCCAGAACAATAATTTGTAGACCATACAAATACTTGTTCCGTGCGGGATTCGAACCCGCGGCCCCCAGCGCAGCAACTCATCGCTAAGCTGCTGTGCCACGGAGCTTGTTTATTATATCATTTTTGTACAATCTTATGCTGGGGCCACATTAACGAGAAATACCGTTAATTATCGCGTTGATGGAAGTTGAATGTAGGTGTGGCCACGACTTAACACGTTAATTTGACAACGACATTAACAATGCCGTTTGCCGTTTGGCAATAACTCAAGTAGCGGTTCATCAAAGGGATTAACGCACGAAATAACGCGTTGAAGCGGTCACACTACGTTTGTCTGACTGTGCACGATGAGCGCAACAGTAACGCACGTATTGCTATGATGGAGCGGAATAGTAAAAAAGTTATTACTTTTCTTAAGATTCTGCAAACAGAGCCATCTTTGCGGGATCCGAGACTGAAAAGTTTTAAGAATCGTACATCGCAAAATGATGCTTTGCTACGAATTATCCAATTGTTATCTTTTAATACAACTATCGAAGAATTAAAAAAGCGAAGGAAAACCTAATGGGTTTTTATAGAACCATTTTTAACAAATATAAAAAGTCTTCAAGGAACATTAATGCCAACTTTAACGCCGTTTAATGGCATTGAAATTTAATTACGTGGAGCGTTCAAGTGTAGCTAATTTTATCGCGTTAAATTTAAAGCAATACTTGCTGCATCTATAGGCATTGACGTTTATCGTTAGTGTAGCACCAGTATTAGCGCGTTCGCTCGATGCTCGACGCAGGGGCGGGGCGACACCCGTGGTCGCGCGGTTATCTAAGCGTTAAAATATGAATATCGACAGTCGATATTTTTTTCAATAAAAAGTTTTAATTTTTAATTTTGTCTCGTAAATCATTTAATCTACCTTACTACCCAATCTTCACACTTACTTCACACTTATTAACATCACAAAAAGAAATTGACATATTACATATATGAGAATCTGAAAAAATGTAATTTACTCAACCAAGAAAATGAAAGCTTAGATAATTACTACAATAAATTAGAGAACAACATAAACAGTTGTTTGGCAAAATCAAAAATTAAAATGAATACACGGCAAAAAGATGTGTTGAGAGAAGAAACAAAGTTGACTATAAAAAAACGTCATAATCCATACTTCCATACTTAATATTATAAATGCGAAAGTGTGTTTGTTTGTTTGTTTGTCCTTCTTTCACGTCGCAACAGAGCGTCGGCATGGCATGATTTTTTGTATGGGGATAGTTCGGTGGCTGTAGAGAAAAATATTTTTTGAAAGTTCTTATTAACTAACGTATACATAGTTTAAATTGATTCCGCTAGATGTCGTTACTAGGTTTTTAAAACGCGGTAACGAAATGTTTCCTGATATGTACTTAACTCCCGCCGTTGAGCCGCGCGTCAAATTATAGTGCATATGGTACCTATACGCTTAAATTGTTTCTATTTCGTAGCTTATTCGACTACCTGCTTTCGATTTCGATTTCGG